GGGGGGGGAGGGGGAGGGGGGCGTCGTCTTTCTTGCGCAGAGGAGGGACGCCGACGCCGAAGCAGCGGCTGTAGTAGTGGCGGCGGTGAAGGGGCGGCCGAGCACGCGGCGGTCAAAACGAAGCGAGCAACGAGGAACAATAACAGCAAGAAGTGCAACAAAAAGAAAACGAACAAAAAAAATAACGTCTGGGGAGATATTTTTCTCGCTGGTGGTGGTGGTGTGTGTGTGTGTGTGCCTTCAACGCGGCACGTTCGGCCAGACGCGTCGCCGCCTCATCCTCACGGCGGTTGACGACTCTCTTCGCCTCTCATCACCTGCGTCTTGCTTCCCGCGTTTGCCGTCATGAAGTGTTTGCAGCCCTCCTCTTTGCGTCTGAGCGCGTCCGCACCTCTCTTTGCCCCCCCGCTCCCATCCCCCGTCTTTCTCGTCTTGCCTCGCGCGGCTCCCCCGCTGCCGCGCCTCGACGCACCAGCGCAGAGCAGAAGGAGTAGCAAGGGGGTTGTTGCTGTTTCGAGGAGGCGCTGCCGAGGCAAAGAGGCAGGTGGCGGACGTGGCGAAAAAGGAAGGAGGGAACCGGACGGCGTCCCGCGGCAGGGACAACAGCCAGTGAGCAGAAGGCGCGGAGAGGGTAAAGAAGTGGAGGTTGTTCACCTGCCTCTCCCGCGCGGCAGCCAGGCGCAACGTGCAAGTAAAGGGAACACGCAAAAACAAAACCACACACAGCAGCAAGGTGAAGGAAGAGACCGGCACACCTGCCCTTGGCGGGACGCAACGTTTCTTTCGGGACGCAAGGCGGCTGGTGGGACACGGAAAGGGCTCTGTGAATGACTTCTAACTCGCGGCCCGCGGTGAACTCTCGGCCGGAGGCCGCACACTCCTCACTCCCAGGGCTTCATATCGACCTCCCCAACTCGCCCATGCGCCGGAGTGCCAGGGGTCAGCGAAACTTAGCCGCGGAAACGGAACCGAGTAAAAAGTTTCCGGTAATAGCGAGCGCGGGAAATAGTGCCGCTGCGAGTCCACTGAACGCTGGAGAATTAGGGAAACAAATGGCGGCGACGGAAGCGAGCTACAAAATATCCTCCCGGGCGTTGATGAACGCAAAAGGTCTCCGAAACGTGCGCAGCATTTCGTGTATGGAGATGGGGGCTGTCGAGAGCTCCCCGGATGCGTCGACGAAGGAGATGGAAGGCGTGTATGCGACGCTGTTGGATTCACGCTCGCCAGGGGAGAAGGAAGGTCTTAAAACCACGGGCACTGGGACCCGCAAAAAGGAAGCGTCCCCCGATTCAGTGAAGCGGAGCCCTGTTCTTAGTTCTGGTTCCCCCGTTTCACCCGCGGCGCCGCGGTTGGAGGACGCGGGGGAGCCAAACGCAATATCGCTAGAAGGGATGCTGCGTGAGGCCTCAAAAATTTACGGCATTCGCCTGAGGTGGATTCTCTATGGTGCCGTATTACTGACTGTGATAATTTTCTTTCTCTTGCTTGGGGAATTTCATACCCTCGTGAAGGAAAATGTTGTTGTTCCAGAAGAGGAAACCGTGGAGGTCGCATTGGCCACCGCCGTCAATCAACTGGAGTGGCTGCAGCACAGTGTGGGGGACACGTTGCGTGGTTTCGAAGTGGCGCGGGGAGTTTCGCAGGATGTCTTGGCCCGCGCCCTTGAATTTCTTTGCGGAACCATCGGTGGAGCCCCGTTGGTGTTTGCAACCTACGGCGGCCGCATGGGTGCGCCGCTGAAAGAGTATTACGCCTGCCCCACATCCGCCGCCGCCCAGGTTAAGGCTCCCCTCTCGATCAATGCCCCACAGGAGCTGCCGAAGGGATCCCCATGCATGGCTGTCTACAGTTCGGATTATATTATCGCCATGACAAATTCAACAGCTGGGTCCGACGTGCTTGCGGTTATCCTGCAAAAGGAGCCTCTGGGACGGCTGTTGGTTGCAAACTCTATGCCAGCCTACAGTGCGTTGACGTTGAAGCGCCACGCTATCGCCTTCCTTCTGCCAGAGTTTGCCTCATCAAACCTTGTCGTCGCTATGCACAGCTTAGACCAAACCTACACGAGCTACGCCGTGGCGCAGCCAACCCCACTGGCTCGAACCTTGCGGGACGAATTCAACCGTGTCTGTGCTGCTGGAAAAGCTCACACGTGGCATACTGTCGTGCGCCCCGACGTGAACGCCCCACGCGCGTGGAAGTATGATCCTAATGCCTCCCACACTGCGATGCCTGGCGCCCACGTGGAGTATAGGGGGATCTGGAGTAGTGTATCACGCGTGGTTGCTTGTGGTGCTGTGTGTTCGCACCCAGAGGAAAAGGAGTGCACCGCTACGAACCCCACGGGCGCCTGGTTCATCGTCGATGACTCTCCAGTGAACCCAAAAACTGAAGTGGCGTTGACTGCTGTTTCGATCGTCAGTGCTTTCGCCTTGTTTTTAATCGTGGCGACGTTGATCGTCGCGTACGTGAGCATCAGCGCCCCTCTGCACCACCTGACCTCACTCATCCTCAACACGATGGGGGACAAGCAGAAGAGGGCGAGGCAGCAGCACTGGGTATTTCACTGCACGCGATGTTTTTGGGCAGGGGACCTGCAAGCGTTGGTGCGAACGTTTCAGTTGCTTTCCTTTTGCTTCCGCTTTAACAAGAAGTACGTTCCGCAGCACGTGCTTGAGCAGCAGTTGCGTGCCTTGCGGAAGCGAAAGGATTATTTGTGGCGGACCATCGTGGTGGGGATTGACTCGGACGAAGAGAAGTACGAAGATGAAGAGGAGGATAACTCGGACACCGGCGCGAGCGATCCGGTGGATATGGAGGCCTTCGTCAAGACCGTTTCCGTGGCGGAAAGGGCTGCAGCCATGGGCCAGTTAAGCAAACCCCAACGGTTGCCGACACGCGAGAGCAGCATGTACGGCACGACTTCCCCCGGCACGGAAACCTGCGCGGAAGCTGGAAGCGTGGTCGCGGGCCACAACGGCATCGATTTGGGCAGAAGCGGTATGAGTCTGGTGGAAAGCGCCACAGTCCTTGTCGTCCGTCTCTGTGCCGTGGAGTTGGCGTACTTCACCAATTACAGGGCTGCCCTGAAGCCACATCGCCGAATCATGAATTTGCTTCTTGGACGTATTCGTCGCTACCGCGGAGAGTTATTTGAGCACTCCGGGGACTGCATTGCGGCCGCGTGGAACGCCTTTGAAAGCCTTGCGGATCACACCGAGCGAGCCGCCGCGTGTGCGTTAAGCATCGCCAGGATGCTGTCAGTCTACCGTGAGGCTGGCTTTCGCGTGGGCATCGTTCTGCATCAGGGCCCATTTGTCTGTGGTGTGGTGGAGGACAACAAGGAGGCCTTCACGACCGTTTTTGGCACCGTGCCCCGTCAAGCCATGGCGCTTGCCGAATTGGCCTCTTCCCTTCCCTACTTTAGCGTCCTTGTGTCGGAGCCGGTGAAGCAGTCGCTGGCATCCCGCTATGAATGCATCATGGTGGATGTGATAAAGTACCACGTGGAGGACAATCCCATCGTGATGTTTGAGCTTCACGAGGAGCGGCGAGCGCCCCTGGTAAAGGGGACACCGTTGGCGTCTTCGGCATTTGCGGAGGAGCACGCGCGCGTGTTTTTTGACTTTAGAAACCACGATTTCACGCGTGCCATGAAGGGTATTGGGCAACTGCGCACTCGCTTCCCTGGACGCGGGCGTCGGTTGCTGGACCGAATTGAGATGCTCTGCAAGTACTACATGCAACACGCAAATGAGCTGCCGATGCCGTACTTTCGTTCGTACCCCACCTGGCCAATCTTTGAGGCCATTGCGTACACGGAGTGGCCGCATGAAATGTGCCCACAGAGCAGCAAGGATGATTTATTGTCAGACGCGCTGCAGATCCCGCGGCACCCCAAGTCGATTTATGAAGATGACACTGTGAATTTCCGCCAGGAGCTGCACGACAACGTCCTAGCCTCCAGGCGAACACACAGCTCTTCCCCCACGACGAAGGCCATCAGCCATGCGTCTCCGAAAACTGCGGGAACAGGTAGCAAGAGGTCGCCTCTTGCCTCCTCCATAGCAAGGCCTACGCAGTCTCCGCCGCATTCGCCGGCGCGTTTGGAATTGGTGAAGGGAACCGGTGGGGAAGCAGCACAGGAAGAATGCTGCGCCAAGCCTTTGGGGAACGCGGCGGCGCATTGGCCGCATGCGGAGCAAACCGAACACTCTGTTGGGGTCGGTAGTTGGAGGGAGTCGGATGCGGTCGCGGAAGGCGAACTTGCGTATGCAGGGGAGTCCGTGCTTTCCATTCATACCCCCACCAACGCCTTCGCCACGGCCAGCGTATCCGAAGCTGGGAGTGAGGCGAAGGGTGGTGAGTCTTGCGGCGAGGACGAGGATGGAACTGGGCGGCAGCGTTTTTCCTTCACCAACCGCATGGGAACGGCCTACAAAGCGGGTCGCAGCTGCAGCTTCGTCCATGGCACGGATTCCTTCACCTCCGTCAACAGCGAAACGATGGGGAACGCCCCCACGCTTTCCTTTGGTGACATTGGTGGGTCCTTCACCAAGGCGACGTCTGAGATCCCGACGGAGATTGTCGCGAAGAACGGCATCACCTACCTCCGCAGCTCCCGCATCCTTGGCAGAGGCTCGTTTGGGTGTGTCTACCTTGGCATGGATATTCTCAGCGGTCGCATGGTCGCCATCAAGTTTCTGCCGCTCCCCTCGGAGGAGGAGGAGATCGCCAACGTGGAGAGGGAGGTGGTGACGATGCAACAGGTCAAGAGTAACCAGGTGGTGGAGTTTATTTCGTATGCCTTCAATAGCAATCTTATTATTATAGTCATGGAATGTATGCTGGCGGGTTCTCTGCAGGGAATTCTTTCCGCCTTTGGTAGCATCCCAGGCACAACGGCTCGTCTCTTTATTAGAGATGTCCTGCGTGGTCTTCACAAGTTGCACGCATCGGGGGTTATACACCGTGACGTGAAACCGCAAAATGTGCTTCTCACGCTTGCCGGCAACTGCAAGATCTCGGACTTTGGGGCCTCGGCCCTCCTGCTGGAGCTCGTCCGCCGGCAAAGGGAGGGTAAGGGGCTTCAGGTGCTGGGGACACCCGTGTACTTGGCGCCCGAGTCGGCGCGAGGCACACCGGAGGAGAAGAGCGACATCTGGAGCTGCGGCATCATGTTCATTCAGCTTTTGACGGGCAGCTTGCCGTATGAAAAGCAATTTCTGGAGATGCCGCCGGAGGTTCTCGTTTTTCAGATTGGCAGTGGCGCGGCGAAGCCCATCATTCCTGACACCCTTGACGAGTTCGACGCCGAGTTCGTCGGCAACTGCCTAAAGGCAGACCCGAAGGAACGTCTTTCGGCCCAGCGCCTGCTGGAGCTACCGCTCTTCGCGCTGTAGCCGTAGGGCGGCGGCGGCGGCGGCGGCGGCGTCCGCAGGACGAACCTGCGCGCATGCACGTGTGCCTGTGCGGAGAACGCGACCGCCGGCACGAGGCGTGCGGTGGAGCGAGCATCAAGCATCGTCGCCTAGTGCGCGTTCCGTGTGTTTGGTGAGTATGTTAATAACGGAGCAAGCAAGTAAAAAGGAAAAGAAAAAAATCACGGGGACGTGGGGGCGAACGTCAAAAGACAAGGAGAAATAAATGAGAAAAAAAAGGAGCCGAAGAAAAAAAAACGGAAAGGGTGACAAAACCAAACTGAAGCTGCTTGTATGAAGCAACAACAAGGGAGAGCGGACGAAGGAGCCCATCACAAGAAAAGGCCTTTTGTGTGGTTGTTTCATCTGGGGTTCCCTGTGGATGCTTCTGACTCACGACGCCTCCACGGGAGTCGTATGTGAAGCAAAGAGTGAATTGGATTCAGCAGCATACCCATACACGTGCTGCATGCATGCAAAAGGAAGTATACACGTATATATATATATATAAGCTTTAGAAATACAAGGGGCTAGAAAAGAACGAGGAATATATTAAAGAAGGGGGACTGACCACGAAGGAAAAAGTTAAAAGAACTGCCACTGAGTAGGAAGGCATTGCAGTCTTTCGTACATGGATGTGCCAATGTGCGGGCGGGGGAGGGACCCCTGGCCGACCGACGTGGTTCATGCCGCCTTGCTCCTACACGGACATTCCCGTCCTTAACGCCATGGTGGACGGAGAAGAGAGAGGAGTTGGTTTGGCATTCCTGCGTCACTCTCTGTTCGGCGTCTTCGAGTCCAGCTTCGAGTTGGGCGCGTGTGCTCATATAGACGCAACTGCGTGTTTTTGTTTCCACCGTTTTTTTTTTCGTTCTATGTGTTTATGTGGGTCAGTTTTTGTAGGTCTCATATACTCTCTCTCTCTCACTACATATAAGTACACGCATATATATATGTATGTATGTATGTGTGTGTGTGTGTGTGTGTACCCTCCTGCTGACTTTGTGATTTGTGGTCTTGTGTTTGTGAACCGAGAGGCGGAAGACGCACGGCCAACGGCAACGTACACTAACGAACCTATTAAGTATTTTGCTTCCTGGGGAATACCGACTGGGAAAACTGGGGGTGGGGTCTCTTTGCCTCTGTGTTGCAGGGCTGCTGGCGGCGGCGGAGGGCCGTGGGCGGGTATTTGTGTGTGTGTGTGGGAACCCCCCCGCTCAGCCTGCCCGACTCGTGGCCTCCGCGCACGCACAGAAACGCGGTGCCAGGGAACATGTGGCACCCCGTCAGCACCTCTTGGACCTTAACGGGTGCTCTCACCCTTGATGGAGTCATTTTATTACCACCACCACCATCTTTTTTTTTTGTAGTTGCCGAGCTTCTTCTTGTTGTATCTTTGTTTTGCCTCCCCCGTGGCCTTGCGCCTCCACGGCGATGCCGTGGAGGAAATCGCTGTAGCTGTTCCTCTCTGTCCCCTCTGGATCTCACTCACTCGTTCCCCCCCTCTCTCATGGATTGTCCCCGCCCATCTCCTCCTTCACGGCAAGTGGAAGAGGAGGAGGAGGAGGGAGAGAAGAAGCGGAAGCAGCAGCAGCGGCACGGATGCCCTTGAGACTTCAGCGCCTTGTCGCCGTGTCGACGGGGCGAGGCGTGTTTGCCGGACGTCGCAGCGGTGCCTTTTCGTACTCCGTGCCCAGGCGAGGGCTGCATCTCTCTGTCCCCAGGCTGAGCGTAGACTCCGGCACCTTCTTTGCTGAAAACGCCTTTGAAGAGGAGCTGCTGCAGCAACAGTTGGCCTCTGCGGCCGCCCCCGCGGATCGCGGCGGGTTTGGCGCTGAGGCGACGCATCTGCCATCGACAAACGAGGCGGAAAGGGTGGGCGTCAGCGCGCAGGAAAGGTGTGGAGTGGCAGCTGCCTCCATTCTGCGCGAGGCAGTACCGTTGACGAGTTCCGAGGACATCAAGGACCTTTTAAAGGGATGCAAAAACGCAAAGGAGGTGCGGCACGTGCTGGACACTGTTCTCTACTGCAACCCACTTTGCCATGATGTGTTGAATGGCCACGGCTACCGCGTGGCCGTTTTGCAGGCGTTGACTGCCGTGGCGCCTCGCACGCAATGCATGCATGAGTGGTTTGAGTGCGTCGATAAGTTCCGCCGGCTGGGATTCGTACTGACGCGCACCTTCGCCGCCGAGGGATTCACTGTGATTCGCGAGTGGCTCTCGCGCCACTTCAACTACGAGGGCCGCTCACCGCTGCTTGTGACGGAGGGCATTTCCCACATCCGCGAGCTTGTGCAGTTTTGCAGGGAGGATCGTCTGGTTTTTGACCACGTTCTGTACACTCGCATAGTGTTTCTCCTCACCATGATTGCGGGCTTCTTTGACCGGCAAAACATCTATCGCTCGACCTTCCCGGAAAACTTCACCAAACGCGACGGGGTGGTGGTGGAGTGGGTGGTCAGCTGTGAGCGATGCATTGATTTTGATGAGTGTGTCCTGCAGTGCGACGCGGTGCTGGAGGAGGTGCTAGAGATGCTCCGCGATGATATCCCCTCGCGCCCCAACTTCAGTGTGATGTATCGACTGATGGACTACTACTTTGCGACGGACAATGTGGAGAAGATGATTGCCGTCATGGAGGACGCCGAGAGCTACGGGATTGGCATCGCCGAGAGCAGCACCGCGAAGCTCATGCAGCTTGCCTGCGCACTGAACTACCCGACGGTTCCGGAGCTTTTCATGCGCTGGAGGGTGTCGCTGCCACAGTGCGTCTTGGCAACCCCCGACATGAGTCGGTTGATGTTCTACTACGCGCGTTCCGGAGGCGGGCACCCCTGTCCCTTGTGTGGCGAGCCCTACAATCACCGTAACGTCAACGTCTATGTGTGGCAACAGACACCGGAGCACCAGCGCAACTGCCAGGCGTTGCTGGACGCGCGGCGGCGCAAAGGCGAGTTGGACGAGAACGTCTCCCTCCCACAGAACCGGAATTGGAGCGAGATGGCGTTTGGCCTGTGGAATTTGTCGCAGAGCCGCGCCATCGAGTGGGGGGTGGTGGAATGGCGCAGCTTCCTCCTTTGCTGCATGTTCTCTCCCCGCGCTCTGGAGGCCAAGGGGCTCCTTGACAAGTTTTGCGACCACGCCAAGATGGACGACTTTCTGCGGGCCACGTACGTGCGCCTGCTGCGCCACCATGCGCCCGAGTTGGTGCCGCCGACGCTTTCGGAGTGGCACGGCAGGGGGCACCGTCTCTCCCCAATTGTGCTGCAGGAGTCCCTCATGGGGTCTGCGATGATAGCCGACGCGACGGAGCGCCAGCGGGCCCTCGCACACGTCTGGAAGGCGTTGCTGGAGAAGGACAGCTACGTCATGCCGTTTACGAAGCGCCTGCTGCAGCGACGGCTAGAGGAGTTGCAGGCGCAACGAACGGGCGGCATCACAGGCAAAGAGGCGGCACTCTTTGCTGAGATGATTGGGATGCAGCCGCGACACCTCTCGCTGCTGGATATGAAGGACAGCACCTCCGATTTCGTGGTGGGGACCACCAAGAAAAATGCCTACACGCCTCACACGAGCGGCGCAGCAGTTGGAGGTGGGCCGGCACGGCAACGACGGCGCGTATGAGCATCTTTACTCTGAATGCGGCTTCACATTGCCGTGCGCAAACACGGTTGGGCGGGTGTATAACGGCTTGACCCGGCCGCCTGTGCTCGCGCCGGCACAGGCTGGGGCGTGTCGCGTGGGGACGCACCAGGGCGGGCGGCCTGCGCCTCCGCGTTCCGAACGATTTGCCCTCACAAGCCGGATAACAGTGAGGCGGAGGCGGAGCTGCTCCCCCTCCCTCCTCCCCCATTCCGCGACGATGGGAGAAAAGGGGACGTTCTTTTGCCCAACCGTATTGTTGTGGTTTTTTTTCCTCCGTTTTATCCGTCTGTGTTTGCTTTTCCTTTTGTTTTTATGTTTCTGCGTCCCCTTCGTTTGAGGGCCAAAGCGCAGTTGACGCCGCCAAAATGCACCCCGCCGGGCGCGGAGCCGCTGACGCGAGGCAACAGCTGTCGCTGCCGGGGTACGCGCACGTGCGGCACTTCCGCAGCGCCACCACCCACGAGACGCTGGTGGCGCAGTCGGACGCCACGAAGGAGCTGGTGCACATCCGCGTCTACGCACTTGAGCTCCTGCGCAACCACCCAGCCCTGCGCACGCGCATTGAGCGGAGAGCCCTCGTCGGAAGAATCGCAGACCACCCGAACATTGTCAAGGGTCTGCCGTCCTTCGTCTCCGACGTTGACCTCTTTCTTGTGGAGGAGCACTGCGTGGGCGGCGAGCTGCTTCGCGCGTTGGAGGAATACTACAAAAGCACGGGCGTCCCTCCTTCCACGCCAGAAACATGCCGGCGGTCCGGTCAGCAGGCCTCTCAGTGCTTGTCGCTGAGCTTTGTGCGGCGCACCATGCGGGACCTCATGCGCGGCGTGCATTACCTGCACGCCAACTGCGGTGTGGTGCATCGCAACATCAAACTTGAGAGCATCTTTTTGGACAGCAGCAACAGGGCCAAGTTGGGTAGGCTCGACATGTGCGCGGCCATTCCGTCGTGCGAGGGCAGTGACGGCATGCTGCAGTTGTGCTGTGCCTCAAAGCACTACGCGGCGCCCGAGCTTGTCATGGGGCTGCCGTACAAGGGGGAGTTGATCGATGTGTGGTCGGCGGGTGTCGTGCTATTCGTGCTGCTGACGGGCCGCTTTCCCTTTGAAGCACAAGAGGAGGAGGAGGAGGAGGAAGGTGGCGGCGCATCGTTGCTGTTTCAACGCATCTGCACCGCCGATGAGGTGCTGCAGGCTCACCCCGCAATAGGGATGGTGCCGGACCCGTTGGCGGTCGATTTGGTCCGTAACATGCTCCGGGTGAGGCCCGAGTGCAGGCTGACGACCGAGGAGGTGCTGCAGCACCCGTTTCTGAAGACACCATAGATACCGTCTGCGTGAATACGTATACATATATATATATATATATATATGTATACGTGCACTATGTTGGTTTCTTACTCTGCGAGGGCAGAGCTGACGCAGGGCACGCGGGTGCGCATATATTTAACCGCATGCATGTGTGCGGTGTTTTGTGACGGCTGTTTTGCGGAAAATGTCTGGGCGTATCTCCTTCTATTTGTTTTTTTTCTTTTTTCTCTGAAAGGCGCAAGGGGAAAGGGAAAGGGACGGGGTTTGCTCTGCCGCTCTCTCAGTGTGAGGGGGTGACGACGTCTCTGGGGGCCGTCGCGGATGCGCCGTGTTGCCAAGGGAGCCCTCGCCGTGGCATCGACGCGGCGGTGGCGCTGGAGCCTCCATGAAGCGGCTGCTTGCCCCTCCCTCGACGCGCTGCGGCTTCACCTCTGCCAGCGGGCCAAACAGGAGACGGAGTGGGACCTGGACTTCGCACTGCTGCCGTCGTGCGCCCAGCCTCACGCCTCCAGCGAGGTGCTGCGTTGCTGCTGCGCAGCCATGGCCTCGGCCGCGGATTCAGTCAAACACATTGCGCTGACAGTCACATCCGCGGCCGTGGCAGTGGCGGTGGGCCGCATGCTTTGCACGGCGCAAGCGGTGTCGCTGCACACCCTTCATCTCACGTTGTACGACGTGGCGTTCCTGCAGGACGACTCGGCCCTCGCCACCTTGTTGCAAGCCTCCAGCAACGTCTCCTACCACCTCACTTCGCTCCGCATCACAATTGTGACATGCGACCTGCAGCGCAGGCTGCGGTGGAGCCAGCAGGCTGTCAGGGCCCTTGCCGCCAACATTCATTCCTCGATGCTGCAAGTATTGTCGTTGGAGTACGTGGACCTGCACGGGGTGAGTGAAGAAGATATGATGGTCCTCTGCGAGGCGATAGCCCGTGGCCGTTTGCTGACGCAGTTGTCACTCCGAGGCTCGCGTGGAATGCTCGCACGTGGGCCTCTCCTGCGGGGCGCGGTGGCGGGGATGCGGCAGCTGGGGGTTCTGGACCTCAGCTCCACGCTGCTTGGTGACGTGGCGCTGGAGCAGCTCCTCCACGCCCTCCGGGCGTCCGTTGGTGGGTGGTGTCGCTTGCGCCACTTGAATCTCGCCGAGACGAATCTCTCAGCGTGGGGCTTGCAGCGGATGCTTCGCGACGTTGGCGAGCTGCCTCCCGGTGAGACGGCCAGCCTCGTCTACTTGAACCTCAACAGCAACGGCATAGACGACGAGGGTGTTTTCTTCCTGGCGAGTGCCTGCATGCGGTGTGAGCTGCTCCGCGAGCTCCACGTGCGGCACAACCGGCTCACGAAAAGAGGGGCGGCGGCGCTCGGCTCTGCGCTCCTTGTGGCAGCCTCCCTGCGGTGCCTCAACCTTCACTCCAACCCGATTGGAGATGAGGGGCTCCGCGCCCTTCTGCGGTACGCCAAGTACTGGCCGGAGCTGCGTGTTCTCGACGTTACGCGTTGTCGATTGACCGCATGGTGTATTCCCTCCATTTGCGCCGTGTTGCCTCTCTTTGACAGGCTGGAGGAGATTGCGCTCGACCGCAACGATTTGCGGCCGCTTGATGCCGAGGCCGCCTCCGCGCTTGGCGATCACAGGGAGACGCCGGAGGGGGAAGTGCAGCTCTTTGCGTACGATACTGCATTCATGCAAGGCGGCAGCCGTGGCGACTCGAAGGTTCCCACTTCATTCGAGCTCGACCGCCGCGACGCAGCTGACGGTCGTCGCCGGTTCAAAGGCACCGAGGCTTTCGTCAAGCCGCCTCCGTCGCTTGAGACCATTGGCGGCGTGGAGTCATTTGCGCAGCTGGGACTGGCGCTGTCGGGGTGTCGTGGGCTGCGCCGCCTCACACTTTCGAGCTGCTCTTTGACCGATGCCTCCTTCCTGGCGGTGGCTGGGGCGCTGGTGGTCCGCCGCCTCACACAGCTTGACCTGAGCGCAAACCCACTCTTTGCTCGAATGGACAGCCTCGAGGCGCTTGCGACGTTGCTGCGTCGTGCATCTGTCTCATTGCAGGCACTTGACCTCTCATGCACGGGGCTGGGGAACGTCGGCGCGTCGCTGCTCGCGGACGGGTATGCCCCGTCCGACGCCGGTGCGGCTGACGCAGCAGGGGCGGACTCGGCCCTACGCGCGTTGACGGCGTTGCAGGAGATACGATTGTCCAATTGCCGTATTGGCGCCGACGGGTTTGAGGCGCTTGCTGACGCCTTTCCTGCAATGACCTCCCTGCAACGCGTGTTTCTGGATGGCAACGCCGTCATAAATCCGGATGCCGCCGTGTCTTTGCTCGGGGCTCTGGCGGGGTTGCCCTCGCTGCGGTTCGTTGGGCTGTACGGCTCCGTGCCACACCACCTGGCGGGCACCGTTGAGGCCTCACGTGAGTGTCTCGCCCTGCGAAGTGGCGGGGTGATTGTACACGTTTAGAAGTATGCCGCGTTGGGCGTTGGCGTGAGCCTCGTGGCAGAATCGTCCCCCCTAATCAGGGGCTGGAGCGTTGGCGAGGCGGCCGTGCACCTCCCGCCTGACGTGAAGAGAAGGCTGAGTCCTCATTCCCTACTGACCCCCCCCACCCACCACCACCACCTCGCCATGTGTTTCTCACAGCACCGTCATATACTCCTATCTATCTATCTACATCTCTCTCTCTCTCTTGTGGCGCCGTGCCTGCGCGTTTATTCATCTCTTCTTTGGTCCCTTTTGTGGTTATTACGTTGCTTCCTCTTCGCTGCCGTAGCCGCGTCTGTCGGTCGGGGGGCGCACGCCTTTTGTTTTTGTTTTCCTTTTTGTCTGTGTGCGGCCTGCGGGAGAGATGAGCGGGCGCTGGAAGAGGCACCGCGGGGACGGGGAAGAAGACCCCCACCGCTACCGCCACGAGGAGCGGCAGCCGTGCCACCAGCCCCGGGTGCGGTACAGCGATCTTGCCCCCGAGGCGAGGCTGCAGAAGCGCCGCCAGGAGCGGCAGGAGAAGAAGGAGATGGAGCGGACCCTGTCGTACTTCAAGTCGGTCCAGCGGGCACTGGAGGAGCAGGCGTCTGGTGCGGGGGATGCGAGCACGCTGGCAACCATTGTCGACGGTTTCTTTGTGGAGCTCATAAAACTTCTCAAGTCCGACGCCACCCTGCACCTCCTGCGCAACGGCGTCGTGTGCCGCGTTATTGAGTCCGCGCTGGCAAACTCGCTCTTGCTGCACAGCAAGTCGCTCCTGTTCGTCTTGCTTGGACACGTGTTCGACGCGGTAGCCTCCCCCACCGCGAGTTACATGATGGAGACGCTTATGGCGAGCCTTGCCCAGGCTCTCAGCGCGCTGGCCGCCGCCGAGGCAGACTCGTTCGCGGCGGAGATGACGGACGGCGGGCCGGGCGTTCACGCCGGAAGTGGGGTGCCCAGCGCCGCCACCCTCGTTACGTGCGTCGTCGAGGAGCTGTCCGAGCGGGCGGAGGAAGTCATCCTGCACGACGTGGCCGCCCGCGCCGTGCGCTCCATTGTGTTGGTGCTCGGGGGATTCACCATTCGCGGGGCCCCGCCGCTGGCGCACGCGGTAAAATTCACCCAGCCGCTAAGTGTGCTGGGTGTCGCCCTGATGCAGGGGCTGGAGTCGACGTTTGCAGACAACAACGCCCGGCGCGCCACGGATATGTGGCTCAACGTCGCCAACACGCCAACCGCCAGCTTCATCCTTCAAAGCCTGCTGCGCGTGTGCGCGGCGGGCACGGAGGTGGACGTCGCCGTCCGGCAACGTCTGGAGTCGGTCCACGACGAGGAGGGTGTTGCGCTGCTGCGGCATCTTCTCATGGACCCGATGGGTTGCCACCTCCTCCAGGCGTACATCAAAGTCCCCGCACCGTTGGAGGTGTTGGAGGCGGGTGATCTTCTTTCCAACCGGATGGCCACGACTGCCGCGGCTCTCTCAGCCAAAGGCGGGGGGCAAAGGCTTCAAGAAATTCTGCGCGACACGGCAGATCACGCGTCGGATGAGGCTGAAGGCGCGGCAGCCGTCAGGGTGCGGGAAAAAACGTGCTGGGATAACGCACTCGACGTTGTGATGGAGGCGCTGGACGATGTTCTTGACCCCGCAGCGGAGCACATGACGCCGGTGCTCTACGTGCTGCAGGATCTCGTTCTCTTCGCCCCAACGGCGGTGCACTTGGAGTGTGTCTGGGTGCGACTACTGCATCCGCGGCTGCGGGTGTTCGTCTCGTCGCCGGCGCTGCTGCAAGTTCTCGTGGCGTTTGCGCGGAAGTGTGCCTTTGCAGGTCCCCCCAGCTTGCGGGATGGCGGCGACGATGGCAACGCGTACGGTGACGGCGCCGTGACTGGGGCGCTGGAGGGCAGCAGTGACGCCCTGCCGAAGGACATTGACCAGCTGCTGCGCGCCGATGTGGCGCAGGGGGCGCGTTACTTTGCGGTGCCCACCAGTTTTCAGAAGACGGTCACCACCACGCTCTGCTTCGCGATCAAGCAGGAGTGTGCAAAGGGCGCCGCACAGTTCCTTCTCGTTGACGCCGCGGCGCATGAAAAGGGCATGGAGCTGGCCCGCTACATCCTGCACTTTCACCCGTCGGCGTCGGCGATGTTCGTCCACGCGGTGGACAAGCTCTCCCTCCGGGACATGGAGTGCCTCGTTCGACACGTGAAGGGCAGCCTTGTTGTGCAGCAGTACCTGCGCAGCGCGGCCGCCGCCCAGGCGGTGCAGCATTCGCAAGGGAGTAAAGCGCAGGAGCAGAAGACTGACAAGACGGTGCCGATGCGGTTTCTGCGCCGTGTGGCGTCGCTGCTGCCGGATCTGGTGGGGGACACTTCTGCGGGCTACGTGGTGGAGGTGCTGTACGAGGTGGGCTCGCTGGAGGTGAAAGAGGCGCTTGTGAAGCTCCTGGTGCCCATTTACACCAGCCTGCGACACGGCCACGGGGGCGCGCCGGAGGCAGAGAGAAGTGAAGCTAGGGAAGAGGCGGATGGATCGGCCAAGACGCCAAATCGCACGCAGATGCGAGAGTTTATTGCACGAAAAGTCATGACGAAGTGTTGTGTGGAGCTGTACATGCACAGACCAGAAGACTGGGCCAAGCTCGCCCGCCGTCAGTGTCAAGTACTGCGACTGCTTCAGCGCATGTCTGTTGTTGCACCTTAGTCTGCACAGGCAACCCCCAAATAAGAAGAAGCAAAAGGAAACACAAAGAGGGAAGGAGGGAGGAGGGAGGAGGGAGGAGGGAGGAGGGAGGAGGGAGGAGGGAGGAGGAGGAGAGGGCCTCTGTGCGTGTGGTTGTGGTCAAGCAGGGGATTAGTTACGTGTGGTGGTTTATAAGCGAAGCGGTGTCTTAATTTTTCTGTAACGACGTTGTACACACTTGGACGGACGTGGAGAGCTCCGACGCGCAGCGTGGCCCGCGCTCGCTTGTGTGTCGGTGTGCCCCTGGCGTCCCATCCCCCTCAGCGGTGGCTTCTCCCCCACTTCCTCTCTTTGCTGCAAATAAAAAAAAAGATGGCCAATTCACGGGAGGAGCTCCGCGTCCTGCAGAGCCGACTGGAGTACGTGGAGCGCCGGGAAAAGGAGCGCGAGCAGGACCTGTACGAGCAGCTGAAGAGCCTGCAGCTGGAGCTCTCGCAGCTGCGGGGCGTCTTCGGCGGCGCGGAAGCGGCGTGCCGCCAGGAGATGTCGCGCCTGCAGCAAGAGTGGCAGGTCTCAACCGCGGCAGCGACGGAGGCGCAGCAGAAGGCGGCGGCCATTTGGCGCGAGTTGGTGGCGGAGGAGCGAGAGCGGCTTGCGACGGAGCACCGGAGGCGGGAGCGGGAGCGGTTTGACGCCCTCCACCGAGCGGTTGGAAACCTCGCCGAGGAGCTGGCTGGCCTCTCGGACACCGTGGCGGCGGCCGGCACGGGGAGCAGCCAACTCCCGTCGCAGGTGGAACAGGAGCTGAAGCAGCACCGGTCATGGTTGGAGCGGCACAAGCGCGAAGAGACCGAGTTTTTAAAGCTCTTTGAGGAGACTTGTACGCAGCTTCAGGACGCGCTTCGTGCCGAGCGGCGGGCGCGGGAGGAAAGTATGAATCGCATCGAGGAGCTGCTGACGCGCCGTGGCGGTGATGCCGCCACCGCCCTCGTCCCGACGAGGCATCGCTTCTAGACGCCGTAGAGTAGACGTTGTTGTGTATCGTGGCGAGTTTGTAAAGTTCACTTGCGTTTCTTCATTTCTTCATTTTGTCGAATTGCAGTGGTGTGTGTGTGTGTGTGTGTGTGTGTGTGCGTGGTTTGTTGCCGTGTGCGTGGGCGCCGCCTGCATCTCTCGTTTGCCGTCTCGTCTGCTCTGCCGTGGCGCGTCGCGCGGGGCCGGGAAGAGAAAGGGGAAGCGAAGGCGTCAACGACGGCACGAAGGAAGGAAGAAGGAGAAAACAACAACAACAAGTGAAGAATTTTGTTGGACTGTTTTTTCATTTATTTATTTATTTATTTTTCTCTGCTGGGCCTCGTGGTGCTCCTCGCATGGGGGAGGCGACTGACTTGCGCGAGTTGTACCGCGCGTACTGCGTGGAGGAGGGGTGCCGCGTGAACTCGGCCGTGCTGCGGTACATCGAGGAGCGCGGGGCGAGGTGCCCGCTGGAGCGGCTCGAGCTCGGCAGCAACTACCTCGGCGCCCGCGGCCTGCGCCCGATCATCCGCCTCGTGGCGCACTCCCAGACCCTGACGCACCTCGACCTGGCGGGCAACGGGGCCGACAACGCGACGGTGGAGCGGCTCTGCGACGTGCTGGAGGGGCACCTGGGGCTGGAGTACCTCAGCCTGCGCGGGAACCCCGTCACGGCGGCGGGGGGGAAGCGGGTGCTGGCGCTGGTGGAGCGCAACCCACGCATCCTCGGCGTCGACCTCGCAGACACCGACGTCTTTGAGGCCCTCGTCTACAAAATCACCGCAGCCACGGAGGCCAACCGGCAGCGCGCCATGAAGGAGACGCCGCAGCTCATCTTGGCGGAGGCCGACGGGACGCAGATGTCCCGCGGACACATCGGAGGGCCCGCCGCGGCGCGGCTCTCGGTTGAGAAGCCCTCCCTAGTCGCCCTACCCGCCGTCGCGCGGGAGTCGGCGAGGAAGGAGGCGGTCGCCAAGGAGAGCGGGCAGCTGCCGCGCTGGGCAACCGGGGGACCGGCGTTCACCAAGTCGCAGCAGAGGCAGCCGATCCCTGCGCTTGCCTCGAAGGAGGCCGGGCGACTGCCGGAGTTGCAGCGGCAGGAGCTGCAGCGTCGCTACAAGGAGAAGGCGATGCTGTTTCGCGAGATCAACAGCAGCGAGGCAAGTAAGGCGGCGGACCGTGCACGGGAGGAGTTGATGTTGCTGGAGAAAACCACGCGGAGCCCTGTTTACCGCAGGAAGTGGGGCTCTAAGACAATAACGGCGACGACGGGGGCATCCCCGACGACTACCGCAACCGCAACCACAGCGGCGACAGCGACAGCGACGACGGTCTTGAAGCAAGAGCAGCTGCCTCAGCCTGTTTCCGCGCAGTCACCCGATGTCCCCGAGACACCGAGCACAGTCACCTACACGGATGCTGGACTTTTGCCGCTACAGCAGCAGCAGCAGCAAGAGGGGAGGGAGGGTCTTGAGCCGCCTGCTCGGCGAGAGCAAGAGCCCGCTGTGGTTAGCCTTAACACCGTGGAGGATGCGGTGATGCAAAGGAGAAGCGGCGACAATCATGAGGTCGGCGCGGAGGTGGCCGTTGATGCAGATGGAGATGCGCTCGCTGTGGCCCCAGCTGAGCCGACACTCGAGGAGGCGGTTGCAGTTAAGCCCACGGAATCCGCGGTGAGTGGGAAGAATGCGCTTGAAGACATCCCACTAGATATGTTGCGCGAGACGCCTGAGTGGATGATGCTTGACAGCGGCGAGCAATTTCAGCACCTCTTCGACAGCGGCTGCCGCGCCTACGTGAGACACGACTTTGACGAGGCCTACACGGCGTGGAACGAGGCGATGGGGATTGCGGTGAAGAAGAAGAACCGGGAGTGGATGGCGGTCCTCTCAAGCAACCTAAAGCGGCTGAGTTACGAAATGCTGGTGCGTGAGGGGATAGAGCAGCTCGAGCAGGGCGAACTCGAGGAGGCGGACGTGATCTTTCAACGAGCCCAGGAGGTGGCGCAGGAGGCACGCAACGCCAAGTGGGAGGCCGACATGTCCAAGGCACGGAAGGATGTGCAGCACGCCGTCTTTCAGCGCTGCCACGAGGCGGCGCTGAAGGTGTTCGAGCGGGCGCAGAAGCTGGTCGAGCAGAGGGTCACCGAGGACGACTACTTCGTTGTGCCCGGTACCGACGTGATGGTGCAGCACACGGAGCGGTACGTGAATGAGTGGCCCCGCATGCTGCTCGTGAAGGAGGCGGTGGAGATGTGGGCGGCGTCGCGTCGCGTGCTTGAGCGCATCGGTGGCGCGGACTGCCGCGTGCTGCAAGGCATTGTGGATGAGGCCCTCCACACAGTCGCCTGCTTCCTCGCGAAGCGCTGCTTTGACACGGAGGACACGCAGTCGCTGAGCTGGATGCGCACCGCCTCCTACAGCTGCCACGAGTGCGTCATGCTGAGTGCGCTCTGGACGGACATGGCCTCCTGCGACAACTTCGCCAAGCACCACAAACACTTCGCCGCCCTCGCCGCCGCGCAGATCGGCAACTTTTACCTCGCCACAAACCAACTCGCGCACGCCCAAACGCAGTTTGACACGTTGGAGACGTTGGCGGGGGAGCTCGACGACCCGCTGCTGCGCGCCGCCGGGCACACCTTCAGCGCCATCCTCAACTGGCAACGCTCGCGCTACGCCGCGGCGGAGGCGCTGCTGCGCGCGGCGGTGCTGGAGTGGGGTGCACTTCGTGACTCCCTCGCCTCCTCGCGCGCCAGTGAGACCGGCGACGAGGCGAGTGCCGAGAGGGGTTTGTCGTCCTCGTTGCTTGCCGCCGTGCCAGCGGACTACGTCGCCATCATGGAGTCCGTCAGCTTCAAGTACCTCGTCTCCAGCATCGCGAGCACGTACCGCTACAGTGAGGCGCTGGAGGTGCTCGAGCGCAGCCTGGTGTGCAAGCACCGCGACCTCCTCTTTGACAAGATGCGGGTGAACTTCAGCGCCCAGCCGACGCTGGAGCACATCGTGGCGACCTCGTCGCAGATCCGGTCCCCGTTCATCTACCAAGTGGCGACGCACCGCTACGAGTGGTCGGCGGCGGAGCGGCGCTACGCGGTGAGTGAGAAGCTGCTCATGTGGGTGGTGCCGCAGCGAAATGAGATGCGGTTTGTGGAGGTTGACGTCACAAAAGACTTCAAGGTGGCCTCCATCAACGAGCTCGTCGAGACGCTGCGCCGGGGGCTTCTGCTCGACCCGCTCTCCTCCAGCAGCACCACGCAGGGCGAGATCCAGCAGACGCTGCCGAAGCGTGCCTGGGTGGAGCCGCTGCAGACGCTCTACGCCATCTTTGTCGACCCCGTCGTGGAGTTTCTTCGCGCCCTTGACCCGCTCTTTCTGAGCAAAAACGGCGTCATCACGCTTATCCCGACGGAGCAGCTGTGGCTGGTGCCCTTTCACGCCCTCATTGCACGCAACGGCAACTTCCTCGTGGAGGACTTCGCGGTGCAGATGGTCTTCTGCGCCACCCAGTGCGCCTTCTCCGCGCTGAGCGCCAAACGCGTGCTGCAGCGCGACCTGCAGCGCGACGTGGTGTTGGTGCAGCGAGAGTCCGACACCCCGGCGATGCATCTGCTCTCGCATGTTGCCTTCCCATTTGACTCACTGCGTTCGCAAAAGGAGGGGGAAGTGATTCTGCGCACGCTCGCGGAGCACAAGCGCAGCGTACACCAGAGCTCCCGCACGACAGACTCGGTCTGCGTGACGACGAGCTCCGAGACGCTGGTGGAGGACCTGGACACATTCAGGGAGCTCCTGCCGAAGAGTCGCACGGTTTTTATCGCGACCTCCACTACGAGTTCCACACGCAACGACGAAAATAGTGCCGGTGCCATCTGCATCGCGCTCTCGCAGGACAAGATTGACCTGCTGCGCTCCTCAGAGGTCGCACGCATGCGGCTGTTTGCGGAGCTGGTGGTGATGAGCAACACAAACATGTCCACCACACGTGTGGTGGGCACGCACGACGACGTGCAGGGGCTCATTCGTGGGTTTTTCTCCAGCGGGGTGCCGTGCGTCATCGTGGGACAGTGGTGCACGCCCGACATGGTTCCCTCCGAGCTGTTTTCAAAGTTCTTCCAGCTGCTGTCGGAGGCAAACAAGCTGCCGCCGCGCAGCGCCACCAGCCGTGCCGCAGCGGCGGCTGCGGCTGCGGCTGCGGCTGCGACGCTCGGGGTGAAGGCCGCCTCCGCCGACGCCGCGGGGCTGACGAGGCCCGCGGGGCCGGGCGACGAGGATGACGAGTTCGGCGGCCACGACGCGGCAAGCCTGCACCGCCACAAGGCGCTGCTGCTTGCATGGGCCATTCGGGCGCTGCTGGAGGACAACTTCTTCCGCTACTCGCCTCGCACCTGGGCGGGCTACTGCTGCGTCGGCTACGGGTCGCATCAGTAGCCGCCGCCCGCGCCTGAGCCAGCAACCACAGCCGGCACAAGAAAAGGGGGAAAAAAAAGGAAAACACAGTGCAACAACGCAGTGAAGGAAATGTGTGCTTCACATACATGTATTTTAATTTCGCCCATGAGTGGAGGGCACGTCACTGGGATGTGTACCTGTTAGCGACCCGCTGCCGTGTGTCTCGGTGGCTGGGTGGGTGAGAGTGTGTGTGTGAGGAGGGGCAGCAGGAAGGGGCGCACCTGGTCCCTGTCCCTCCAACTCGCTCATGTAAAAGTACCAGTTGCTATTCTTCGCGTGGGCGTTGTCATCGTGTGGCGAAGAGCACCCAAGCACACACACGCGCGCACGCACATGTCCCGTCAGTGGAACCTCGGGGTTTTATTCTTCTTCTTCTTTTGCGTGCGGCACTCCTTTTCTTCCTTTTTTCTTTTCTTGGGGGGGGGGGGGCGAGGGGCTACACTCGTGTCTGCGTTGCCGTCCCGCGGACGCTCGTGCACGTTCCTCTTCCCACGGAGCTTGTTTTGTTTGTTGTGCCCTTGCGCCGGGGTGTAGAGAAGCAGGGAGGAGGTGACGGCAGACGCACGCGGCAGGTGACGCACAAAGTTGACCCGCGGAGGCAAAACACACGCGCAGGGAGCGGGAGAGACTGGGCCAACGCCCCCTCCCACCACCAACAAACAGAGAGTGAACTGAGGCGGTAGAGGCAGGGCGACGAACGCCACGGCAATGGTGGAGCATCAGGTGCTCTTCGTCGGGTGCCTGGCGGTGACGCTCACAGAGCTGCGTGTGAAGGGAAACGTGTTCCCCCAGAAGGCGCCGAGCAGCGGTGGGGCAAGGTTTTTTGTGCGGATGGCCGTGCTGCCGACCCAAGGCAGCGGCACGGAGGAGCGCATGGGCGAATTTGTGGATTCCTCCGTGCACCCGCTAAGCAGCGCTGAGATGGCGGAGGACCTGCTCATACCCCTCATGCTGGAGCGCGCCTTGCCGCTCCCCGCCGCCGCCGACGACGACAACCCGCCTCACGCCACGCAGGAGCAAAACAGCCAGAACGACCTCAATGCCCCTGATGCTGTTGCTGCGGGCGAAGTCAAAGGGAACGGGGACAAGGATATTACTAATAATGTTGCTGAGGTGCGTGGCGACGGCAGCCGCCAAATAGGTGTGGAGCTGCATCTGGAGTTCACTATTGTGCGTGGCAGCATGCAGTCAATAATCGCCCATCGCACCGTCGTTATTGACTCCTTGTTCAACGTCGCAAATGAGAATTGTGGTGTGGTGAACGCGCGCGTTGCTGCGGCTGCCGCGTTGCGTAGCTCTTCGTTGTGGGGGCAGGGAACTCCGTCGCCCGCCGCAGACCAGAGCCTTTCCCTGGCGGAAGCCAATGAGGATGCCTTTTGCTCAGGTTTGGAGCTGCAGTTTATTGTGCGGGCCCTCGACATGTCTGAGCCGGTGCGTGTTATGCTCGCCGCCGAGCGAGAGGCCCGAGCGCTCCTCCGTATGCCGCAAAATGGGCTGCAGACGACGTTTCTGTTTCCCGCGCTGCGGTTGCCGTACGGGGCGCTGCCGCTGCTCGTGCTCTACCAGTACTACCGCCGCTTCTACGAGTGGCTCCTCCAAAAGACCCTCCACCTCTCCGAGCACGTGGTAAAGCTGCTGTCTGTGGACGAGAACTGTGGCGGGTCCTATCGCTGGAGTGCCGTGAGCGTCGTCGACATGCGCCCCACGCTTCTCGGCGAGGACGCCCTGGCCCCACTCCTGGCGACGCTGTACCACTGCCCCTCGCTTTGCGCACTGCTGCTCGATCAGAACGGCGCCGGCGACTTCACGTGCTACTGGCTCTCCGCCCTCTTCCACAAGCACCGCTACCTGAGCGAGGTCTCGCTCTGCCGCAACAACATCTACGAATGCGGCGCGGAGCAGCTGCTTCGCCTCACACGACGGAATAAGCGCCTGACGCGGGTCGACGCCAGCGGCAACCCGTGCTCCCCCCGCATCCTCGGGCGCATTCGGTGTGTGACGGAGATGAACCAAGAGACGCTACGAAAGGATCCCTTCAATGCGGCTTCCATCCTCTACGCTTACGCCACCTCTCCCGCCTCCTTTGCGCCGGCCATTACCAAGAAGGCCCTCACACTGTGGGCCATGTTGTCTGTAGCTCCTCTGAAGGCGGCCGACGGTGCGTTTGCGGGCGAGCGTCCATCGATGATCCCTCAAGCCGCATTGGCCCCGCTGCTGAACGAAGTCATGCGCACCGTTGCGTTGAAGATGTCCGCCTTGATACGAGACCCTTTCGTATGCATGGTGTTTTCCGACATTGAGACGCAGTGGAGGTTGGCGGCTTCCGCGCCCCGCGAGGCTGCACCGCCGGTGCCCGCGAAGGAGGATGGGGCGAAGAAGGCGGGGCACGGCCAGGAGGGAGACGACGTGGCACCCACCGTGGGCGTGGAGGAGCTCTACAGCTTCTCCTTCCTACGCGTCGTTCTTGTTACCATGCGGAGTATGACGCGGGAAGGGGACTGGGTGGAAAGCGCCACCGTCTTGCAATGCATTGGGCGACGCCAAAAAGAAATTGGCGTCGTCGCCGATGACTACCGTGCCGCTCTGAAGGTGTTCATTGAGGCCCTCATCACCGTCTGCGGCAGGGAACCCGTGGACGTGGAGCACTCCACCGCCTTTCTTCAATGCCTCGCAGTGGGCGTGAGAACGTGCCTCGCCGTGTAGTGGGCCACGCACACTGCGCCACGGAGGCGAGAGGAGGGAATGGAGTGCCGCCCCGCATCCGCCCGCGCGCATCCCTCGTGGTGTTGGGGGGAGGGGGTGGGAGTCGCATTTTATACCTCTTCAGAAGGACGAGCCAAGAAGTAGGCAAACGTCGCCAACACGAAGGCCACAGTGAAAAAGGGCGCTCGCCATGTACTTTCAGGAGTCGAGCGTGAATATTAGACACTCTCTCTCTCTCTCTCTCTCTCACACACACACAGACACGCAGGCACACGCACATGCGTTCCTTGGAAAGAGGGAGAAACAGCTGCCGCGTGGATGAGTAGATATTTTAACCCATGGTGTGTATTTGGCGTGGAGCTATATACATGCATGTCTGCATGTATGTGTGCATGTGTCCCCCCACGTGTAATGTGCGCTTGCGGGGGCCGTGGGGAATGTTCAATTGTGTTTGCCTCCTCTGCCGGCTTCACGGTTTTCTCTCCCCCGCGTTCGCTCTCTCTTTCTTTCTCTTTCTTTCTCTCACTCTGCGAGAGGAAACTGCGTACTTTGCCTCTTTTCCGCTTCTCCTTTTGCTGATGGAAACCTTGTCGCGCGAGGGTTTGTGACTATTCCATCTGGGGCGTTGTGTGTGCATATTTGCATCAACCAGTCCAACAGCAGCAGCAGCAGCAACAACAACAACAACAACAACAAGTGTTCCGCGCCCCCGCGACCTGCCAGAGAGGAAGCGTGGCTAAAGCACATACAAAATATATAAGGCAGGATAGAAGTGAAAAAGCAAACCAGATCAAGGGCGGGAGCGATAAGGTGGGTGCGAAGTAGGAAACAAGATGCGTGAGCGTGTCGTCCGTCTGAAGCCGTACGAGTATGTCCACATCCTTGACAACAACACATGCAAGGTGACGCTGTTGGAGGGGCCGTGCTGCTTCACGATGCAGGACCACCTCGTCAACCTGCATGCGACCCCCCAACGTCACATTGTCATTCCACCAAATCACTACTGCGAGGTGCGGAACCCGGTTTCGCCGTCGCCCGACGGCGGGGAGCCAACGTACCGGGTGGGTCACCGCGAGGTGCGGCTCTCGCAGCCCCCATTTCCGCTCTACCCCGGCGAGGAGGCCTCCGCCGTGACGCCAATGCGCATACTCACTGCCCGCGAGGCCGTCGTTGTGCAGGCCCTGGCGGACCACGCGACGACGGACGAACTCACGGGGGAAGTCGTGCAGCGCATGGCTGGGGAGCAGTGGTTGGTGAGAGGGCCCGGGCTGTACGTCCCGCGTGTGGATCAGGAGGTGGTGAAGAGTGTGGAGCCAGTCATTCTCGCGGCAAATGAGTTTATGCAGTTCTCTGCCCTCTCGGACTTTAAGGACTCGGACGGCACAACTCGACGCGTCGGGGAGAAGTGGAATGTGGTGGCGCAAGGACTTTTTTTCCCGAGCCCGTACGCAAAGCTGGAGTCCGTTGAAAAGGGCATTATGCTCTCCCCTACGTTGGCTCTCCACGTACGGGCGTTGCGTTCGTTTTACGACCGCAGCTTTGGCGTTCAACGTCTCCTGGGGGACCGGTGGCTTGTGACGCATGATGCGGTCACGCTGTTCATACCGAGTGAAAATGAGCAGCCCGAGACGACCGTCCCTCTCACGGTCGTTGGGCACCAGCAGTACTGCATCTTGTTAAGCATGGCACACGACGGCGTCTGCCATGACAGTAAAAAGAGGCTTATCAAGGGAGTGTGTTCCTTTTTTTTGAAACCAGGAGAGAGTCTGCAGGACAATGAGGTGAAGGATGCCTACCTCCTTGAGTCGCACGAGGCGCTACTTGTGGAGGCGGTAAAAGGCTTCACGGATGACAGCGGCACACGACGAGAGGCACCATCGCGGTGGTTGGTGCGTGGGCCGTGCAGTTACATCCCGCCCCTGGAGGTTCGCGTCGTGGAACGGCGGGAACGGATGCTGCTTACGGGGCACAGAGGCGTGTATGTACGCAACCTCCGCACCGGCAGGGTTCGGGCGGTGCATGGTCAGGCGCTTCTGCTTGCTGAGGATGAGGTCTTGTGGGAGAAGCCGTTGGGTTCCCTTGTGTACCGTCTCCTTGCAGCAGATAACCTCTCCGTGTACGACCTCGGTGCGCTGAAATCGGCTGCAGCAGAGGGACCGTGCGCCTCACACGAGGTTGTCTACTACAAGGTCCCGCACAATGCCCTGGTGCAGCTTTATGATTACAGCACAAACACCAGTCGCGTGGAGGCGGGACCCGCCGCCGTGTTTCTCGCCCCCAGTGAAGAATTTACGCCCATCTCTCTCTCCGGCGGGCGCCCCAAGAGGGCGAACTACATCCACTCGCTCTGCCTCTTTTTGGGACCCGACTTTATGTCTGACGTAGTCGACGTCGAGACGCTGGATCACGCCCGGCTGCGGCTTGAACTTGCGTACAACTGGGAGTTTGATAGCTCGGACAAGAAACACATCAAGCAGGTTGCCTTTGCGATGCCTGATTTTATCGGGAAGACCTGCAATACGCTGGCGAACCGTATTCGCGCCGCCATTGCCGCGGAGTCATTTGAGCAGTTTCACCGCAATTCTTCTTCTGTGATTCGAAAGGCGATCTTTTGCTCTGACTCAGGGACGACGGAGATGCGGGAGAACGGCCTCTACTTCCCCGTCAGCGGCCTCCTTATTACAAACGTGGACGTGCGGAGTGTGGAGCCGGTGGAGCCGAACACGCGGAATGCCCTGAAGAAGAGTGTCCAGCTTGCCGTGGAGATTATCACCAAATCACAGGAAAATGAGGCCGCGCATCAGGCAATGTTGTTTGAGCAGGAGGCAAAGGGCTCCCTTGAGCTGCAAGTCATGAAGGACAAGGTCTTGGAGGAGGCAGAGCGTGTGACACTGCTTCAGGTCGCGGCGGAAAATGCCGCCATTGAGCTCAGCGGCTCCAGCAAAGTCCAGGCCCTGGCGGAAAGTGAGGCGCGGCTTGTGGAGCAGAAGGCGGAGCTGGACGTGACGCCCACGCGCTGCAAGTCGCTGCAGGAGATGGCGGATGCGGAGTTGGAGGTACAGCGTAAACGCATGGAAATGGAGATCTCCCACCGCCAAGCCATGAACGATCTTGCGGTTGCAAAGGCGAAGACCCTGGCCGACATCGAGGCCACAAAGGTGGAAAAGATATTTGCTGCGTTGGGCAGGGGAACTGTCACGGCGATTGCGCGGGCGGGCCCAGAGCTAAAGGCGAAGTTGCTGCAAGCGCTGGGTCTGAAGGGTTTTCTCGTCACGGACGGCACGTCTCCCATCAATCTGTTGGGCATGGCAAATCGCGTGGTGCAGAATCCGCAGGGGCAAAGTGTATAAAGTATCCAACCTGTGTGTAGCCGTGCCTCCACTCCGGAGTGTTTCTATCTTCTTTTTTACTCATTTTATAGTGGCAAGTTGCTTTGCCTTCCCTTCTTTCTTTTCTCTCTCTCTCATTCATTCTTTCGTTGTTTGCTGGCTTGCACCCACATCTTGCCCTCTTTATGTGTGCCTGTGCGCTTTTGGGCCTGGTTTGGTTTGGTTTTCCCCTCCTTCCTGTGTGGGGGTGCCGCTGCGGTCGCCTCGGTGATGTTTTGTTGACTCTTCTCCCCCACCCCTCCTCTTTCTTTCTTTCTTCTTTTTTGTCCGCTGCTTCCGCCGTCGCCGCCCGCGGTGTCTGCCTGCTCCCACGCAGTGTGTGCGTGCGTGTGCGTGTGTGCGTCGAAACGCGTGCTGCCGGAGAGGCGGAGGGAACCGGCGCCGCGACGCCAGTTTATTCGCCCGCATTCCGCAATGACGGCCGCGCCGCTGCGGGAGGTCGTCATCGGGACGCGCGACGGCAGTGACGCCAGCGACGCCTTCCCGGCGCTCTCGGGGTGGGCCGATCACCTGCCGGACCCGCCGGCGCTGGCGGAGGTGGAGGCCTACGTGGCCTCCCTGCGCGTCCTTGTGGCGAACGGCGGTGCGCCCATCGAGCCCACCGCCCTTCCGCTCGTCGACGCCCTCGTGGACCGCCTCGATCAGGTGTACTACTGGGCCGTGGAGGAGGGCACGACGTTTCGCAATGAACCGAGTCGGTTGGCCCAGTGCGAGGTGCCGGAGCTCACGCTCCTCTGCGCCGCGACACGGCGTCCTAAAATCGTGCTGGCCGCCCTCCGCATTATGCGTCACCTCCTGCGCCACTGGCAGGCGGGACCGCAACTGCTGGCCGCCGCGACTAGGAACAACGAGGCGAAAGAAATGTTATCAACGCAGGCCAAAGATGGCAATTTGTTCGGCATGCTTGCCTCCGTCATGGGCCAACATGCGGGCCTAAGTGAGTTGCAGGCCGAGGCTGCCGCCGTTGCGGCGGAGGCGGCGCTGTTAGACATTGAGGGGCTGCTGGAGAGCGCGGTCATTAGTCATGTGCTGGCGGCGCTCGAGCGGCATGGAACAAGCACCGCCATGCAGCGAGAAGGGGTGTGGCTCTTTGCAGCCCTTGTCGACGTCCAGCGCGGCGGCACGCCAGGAAAGGAGGAGTATGGTGCGGGGAATGACACCGGGGCCCGAACCCCGACAGCAACTCTCTTGTCGCAGTTTGGCGTTGTGGTGCGTTTTGTGGTAGCCGTGGCGAAGGCGCACTCGGGCAATGCTGAGGTGAAGCGCAATGCGGTGCACTTCTTTCTCCGCTGTGCGTCCTACCCGGAGAATCGAGACATCCTTCTGCGGGAGGGTGTCTATCCTGTTCTGGTGGGCGCTCTCCCCTCGGCGGTGCGCACCCCCCCGCTCTTTGCGGAAGTCACGGAGGCAATCGCCCACTTTATTCCCCTTTTGGACCCGCTGCAACGACGCAGCCTCGTCCTTGTGGTGCGTCGCCTGCTGCTCGAAACGGCGTCGTCGTCTTTCGTTTCACTCCTAGTGGCCCTTCTTCTGCGCCTGCTACGGGTGGCGCCACGGGGAGAACTCAGGCCGTGCCATGACCGGCAGCCGGGGGGACCGCAGGAACCGGCGCCCAACGCATGCGTGCGGGGTGACGCACTGACTCGCAGCGACACCATTCGCTTAGGGGAGGGCGACATCCGCGTTTTTATGTCGGCGAACTTCATTCCGCAGCTCTTGTGCTGTGCGGCCGACACCATCGGCGAGGACGACGCGGTGCTGCGGCGGGTGGTGGCGGAGGCCGTGGGGCTGCTCTCCCCGTATCCCTGGCGGTAGAGGCGACGGAGGCCCTCCGGGGATGAGGCAGCCGGCTGCGCAGCGGGAAGAAGCGGAAGAGAAATGGAGGGGTGGAGGACAATGCGCAGTGAGCGCGGGTGGGGTGCACAGGGGCGACCATAACCTCAGAGGCGCTCCCCTTCGCCTTGATCGTTTTCTGTTTGTCGCGCTGACTGTCAACGTGGTGCACGGAGAGTTCCGTGTGGGTGTGGGTGTGTGTGTCTGCCCTGCGCCATCCCTCGCGTTCCCTCCCTCGCTCTCTTTCTATTTCTCTTTCTCTCTCTATTTCTATCTCTTTCTTTATTTTTCCTTTCTGCGCGTAGATAGAGGGGGTGGGGCAAGGCGGGATGTCGCTTAGCGAGGCGCAACGCGAGCGCTTCTCCCTGCAGTTTCTCATGTTTGACAAGGACTCCGACGGCCGCATCACGACAGACGAGCTGGGGCCGCTGCTGCGCGTCTGGGGCTTCTGCCCCTCCGAGGCGGAGGTGCAGGCGGCGGTGCGGCTCTTAGACCCCGACGGGGCGGGCGTCGTCACGAAGGCGCAGGCCCTCAGCACCGCCGAGTCCATGCAGAAGCAGGTGACGGCGGAGGTGGACGTACGGGAGGCGCTCCGGGTGCTCGACGCCGACGGCGATGGTTTTCTCACCACCGCCGAGCTGCGGCACATCCTCCTGAACTTAGGCGTCCGGCTGCCGCTGGAGCAGGTGGACGAAGTCATTTCCGACGCCTACGCGGACGACGAGCACCACATCAACATAGACGAGTTCGCCCGCATGCTCTTTGCGGGCACGCATGAGGGAAGGGTTGACCTTTGAGGAGGGACGCCGCAGGGAAGCGAGCGGCAGGGCACACCTCACCTCACCTCAGATGGCTGTGGCTGGGGGAAGAAAAAGAAGAAGCAAAAAAAGTGAGGCGAGGATGTGTGGGTTGTACATATTGCAAAGCGAAACAATGAAGGAGAAAAAAGGAGCGAGTCTGCGTTTGCGTGGGTGGAGAAAGAGGGAAAGAAACCACGAAGGAAGAACGACGGATGTCCGTGAGTGAAGCCGTGGCTCGAGCTGGCGGTAAACCATGCGTCCCGCACGCGCTTGTCTTCAACTGGTTGGTTTCGTTTTCTTGTTACTTGTGCTGCGCGGTTTCGTTGTAGTTCAATGTTTGCCCGCTTCCTCTGCGAGAGACCCAGCGCGCTTGGCGTCAGCTGCCGCGGCGCACTGCTGCAGTGCTTCCGCGGCGCCGCCTCTTCGAGCTACGCCGCCTACGTCGACGGCGATCCGCTGCTGGTGAGCGAGCAGCTGACAAGCAGCGAGGCAGAGATTCAGCGCGTGACGCGCGAGTTCTGCAAGCGGAGCCTCCTCCCACGCGTGACAGACGCCTACCGCAACGAGCGCGATGACCGTGAGATTTTCCGCGAGCTGGGGGAACTGGGGGTGCTGGGGCCCACCATCGACGGGTACGGCTGCGCCGGCGTCAGCTCCGTCGCCGCCGGCCTCATCTCGCGCGAGATTGAGGCCATCGACAGCGGCTACCGCTCCGCCTGGTCCGTGCAGTCCTCCCTCGTGATGCACCCGATCTACGCCTTCGGAAGCGAGGCACAGAAGGAGCGGTTTCTGCCGAGGCTGGCGAGTGGGGAACTCGTCGGCTGCTTCGGGCTCACGGAGCCGAACGCGGGGTCGGACCCGATGTCCATGACGACGCGGGCGCGGAAGGTGGCGGGGGGCTACAGCCTCAGCGGGCGCAAGATGTGGATCACCTCCGCGCCGCTCGCCGACATTGCCGTGGTGTGGGCAAAAGTAAACGACACAAATGATATCGCAGGGTTTATCGTGGAGCGCGGTTTTGAAGGGTTCCTCACGGAGCGGATTGAGGGTAAACTCTCCCTGCGCACTAGCTGCACCGGCATGATTGAGTTGGACAACTGCGTCGTGCCGGAGGAGAACGTGTTGCCGCACGCCACCGGCCTGAAGGCCCCCTTTGAGTGTCTCAGCAGCGCCCGGTACGGCATCGCGTGGGGGGTGTTGGGCGCGGCCGAGACATGTTTCAAAATCTCGCGAGACTACAGCCTGGAGCGCAAGCAGTTTGGCAAGCCACTCGCGTCCACGCAGCTTGTGCAGGCCAAGTTAGCAGATGCGGTGACAGAGATAACGCTGGCAACGCAAGGTTGCCTGCGTGCGGGGCGGTTAAAGGATGAGGGAAAGCTCTCGCACCAGGTGATCTCCATGTTGAAGCGCAACAACACCCGTAAGGCAATAGACGTTGCGCGGGCAATGCGAGACATTTTGGGTGGGAACGGCATCGCCGACGGCTACCACGTCATGCGGCACGTCTGCAACCTTGAGACCGTTTTGACGTACGAAGGCACGTACGATATTCATGGGCTTGTTTTGGGGCGCGCCATCACCGGAATGAGTGCCTTCTGAAAACGCTATTTTTTTTTATTTAGTTTCCTTTTCCATTTTTTTTAGATCGATTTTTTCTTTTTATTTTGTGTTTATTTGTGTTGGTGAGCGTTGTCCCTTCCTCTTGCCTCCGTGTGGCGGCGTGTGGCGCTTGTCACTTTGCTTGGCCCTGCGCCTCGTCTCCTGTTCTTTTTTGTTTTGTTTTTGTTTCCGCGCGGCTTCAGTCGACTCGCACCGCCACGGGCCTGCGGGCGCGAGTCCAGGACGAGGGAGGAGGAGGAGGAGCGGGGGGCGATGGCTGAGGACCGGCCGGTGCTGATCATCGACAACGGCGGCTACACGCTGAAGGCGCTGTACATCCCGAGCCCAAGCAACTCCGCGTCGCAGCCGCCGCGGCAGGCGGTGGTGCCGAACTGCGTGGGTGCCGCATCCTTCGCCGGGCGCGGCATCGTTGGCGAGCAGCTCTTCAAGCTGCCGCACTTCCACGGTTTTATGCTGCGCCGCCCCGTCGACCGCGGCTTCGTGGTGGATGCCGCGCTGCAGAGCCACATCTGGGAGTACCTGCTGCAGTGCTTCGCCATCGCGGACGAGAGTGAGGTGGAGCTCGTGCTCACGGTGCCCTTTGCCGCCCCCACGCCAGTGGTGGAGCTGCTGCACTACATGGTCGTGCAGCGTTTTAAGTTTCGGGCCTTGACGCTCGTGAGCGCCACGTTCCTTGCGCTCGTGGCCGACGCCTCACGCGACTGGTTGCACGGCACCGCGCCCGACGCCGGCCACGGGGGTGACGGGATGGGCGGGGGCTGCGGAATGGTGGTGGACTTTGGCTTCTCCGCCACAACTGTGGTCCCGTACGTCGACTTTCTCCCACTGTGGGACTCTGCCGTGCGGGTTGACGTTGGCGGCAAACTTCTCTCGAATCGGCTGAAGGAACTCATCTCATTCACGCAGGTGAACATGACGGAGGACGGGTGGCTCGTCAACCACATCATGGAGAAGTGCTGCCACGTGGCGCTGCACCCACGGGCATCGCTGCAAGCCGCACAGCGGCAAAGGCGGGGCGGGACAAGCAGCAGCAGCAGCAGCGGCAACAGTCGCCTTGGGCGTGGCAGTTGTGCTGCGGAACTGCGGTACTATTTGCCAACGGTGCCGCCGCTTATGCCGCTGGGGTGCCGTGGGGAGGAGCTGCACGCGGTCCTGGACGGCGACGGGGCGGGGATTGAGCGGCATGAGCTTCAGCATGTTGTCTTCGGTCACGAGGCCTTCCTCATCCCGGAATTGCTGTTTCACCCTGTGGACGTGGGAATCCAACAGATGGGCGTCGTCGACGCGATTGTGCGCGGGACACGCAGCCGCGGGACGCTGCGGGAGGCCTCCGTCCTGCACTCCGCCCTCCTCCACCGCGTCGTTGCGTTCGGCGGCACCGCCGGATTCCCGCACCTGCGCGAGCGCCTGAGCGACGAGCTGCGCATGGAGTCCGGCACGGCAGGCAGGCCGGCGCCAAGTACGTCGTCCCCCCTGCAGCCGCTCGTGGAGGGGCTCCGCACGGCGGCACAATCCACCGTTTTGAACGGCAACGTCAGCGGCTACTCCGCCCACGACGGCGAGCTGCAGCCGCTCTACGGCGCCCTGGCGCTCTTCACGTGTCCCGCTCGCCGGCCCCAACTGCAGATGCTGCGCGGTCGCAGTCACGTGGACTTGTCCACGCTGCGGAAAAGCAAACACGGCGTGGGCCGTGCGTCAGCGCCAATGACGCACAAGGCACAAAAGGCATTTAAGGATGCCATGCAGCGCCTTCCATGACTCCTCCGACGCAACTTTCTCGCTCACACGAGGCACAGCCACAAACACACACACACACACACGACAGCCTCCAAATTGGTTGTTAGTACGACTACTATTTTAATATATTCCCGCAGACACATCCACCTCTTCCACTTGCTCTGCGTTGCCCTTCTCTTGCCGTCGCCTGCTGCGCAAGCCTCACACAACAACAATAAGTTAACAACGTTAAAAGAAACCACCGAAGACTTACGATTGTACTTAAGACCATTACAGTCCGGCAAGTGAGCAGCGATGTCGACGCGCCTGAACAACCTGCTGCAGCACATCGCTGTGAGGGAGAGCGACAGCGACACGATGCGCCACGTGAAGCAGCGCATGGCGATGGCGTCCCTCGCGAGCCAGTTCACGGTGGGCAAGCACCACCTCAAGCAGCTGATGCTGTACATGATCCACGAGATGATCGAGGGGCTTGAGGGCCGCGAGAGCACCCTGCGAATGCTGCCTTCGTACGTGTACAAGGCGGACCCCAGCAAGGCGACAGGCGCCTTCTACGCGTTGGACCTCGGGGGAACGAACTTCCGCGTGCTGCGCGTGTCGTGCAAGGATGGCCGGGTGGTGAGCCGCACAGACTCCAAGTTCGTGATCCCGCAGCAGGCGCTGCAGGGGGACGCGACAGACCTCTTCGACTTCGTCGC